GATCCCCAACAAGCATCCAGGACTGTGTATGCAAGGGGCAGCTCACATCATAGAACTCAAGGAAAACAGCTACCTTTACATGTGAAAGTCACAGCTTTCTCAGTCACAGGCAACAAATTTCTACAGTTTACTGCCATGTAAAGAATTAAAATGGATCCTCCTGATGGCATTGCCTTCTTTATTCTAAATGAGGAGTCATGGTATCTCTACCTGGAAGCAATTTGGTTTGTTGACCACTTCTAACATGGTAAAATGCTACACTTACTTTCCAGAAGGGAAAACAGATGAGGGAAGTTATACTGAAAAAAAAAAAAGACCTGTAGGAATTATGTTATTTTCTACTACCTGTAAAGAGCAACTTATGAGCACCTCTTGAAATCTGAAAGACTACTCAAATACTTTTTCCCTTGTTTCAAGAAGAGATTTTAAAAGAAAAATTCAGAACTCACAAGATGCAAGGCCAAGAAAAGCCAAGATAAATAAAAAACATATACTAAAGACAGCAGAATGATCTGGACAACTTCTAGTTGCTTACTGAGCAAGATCTAGAAATCACATTGAAAGCCATTTTACTGCTGCTTACAGTCAAGTATTTCTGAGAGACACGTTATTCGATAATAATATAAATAAGATGAATGTGACTGAATAGCTGAATTAGGAGAAAATAAAGGGAATAAACTCTCAGCATCAATTAGTTCTAGAAGTTCGGGTTTAAAAGTGTGTAGGGCCCTCTCAGTAACAGAAGATGGTCTCAAATAGATAACATATTATACGGAAAGAAAAGATATAATGTCTCACTGATCAAAAATAAAGACCTGTTGTAAAACACATAGTTCTTAAGTCTAGATGGCTGAGGTTATGCAACTCTGCTGACCATTTATGTCAAACTTGTTTTGTCAGTATATTCCTAGTAACTGTCACTTCCATACAAAATTTTACAGTAAGATGAAGAGCTAGAAATCATTCAGTGTCACTATTTTTTTTTTTAACTAGCAGACAGAGAGGGGAGAGACACTATTAGTATTTCTACTGAGACAGAAGACATCATCCATCTTGTCTGGCTAGATGGCTGCTGCCAGTCAGCACTAATTCACTGACAGTGCACAAATAAGCAACTGTCAGAGGGGTGCTGGGGCCAAGGGCAAAAGTTGAGATGTCACTATTAGAAAGCACAGAACATGGGGAAACCTGAGATACCACGCAATAATGGTATCAAAGAATAGGAAAGGAACTATGTTTACTACATGTGATGGAAGTGTGGGGATACAGAACAAATTGGTTTGTATTACAATAAAAAGTAGAATAAGGAAGAAAAATTATGAAGCAATGCAAGGTAGAAGTGATTGCTTTGTCATTACATTCTTTTTTGTAAACTTGAACTGTTCAATCTTGTCTCAGATTCATGTCTTAAGTACTTAAAATTGGTTAAAGAACAGCTAGTGCCTTAGGAGAACTCCACCCCAGAGTTCAAATTCATCCTTCCTCCTCTCTCCCTAAAGGAATGTAACTGCAGTAGGCTTTTAAACGTGGTTACAGGGTTAAACATAACTAGACATAGCTAGTATTGCTTATATTCACTAGGATAAAATCCATGTGGGCTAACATAAGAAATTGAAGCATCTCATTTTTATGACATTTATTAATTCCAGCTTGTACCTGGAAATCTAAGTAATGTTTGCCAAGAGTCAATGCATGAAAATTACGATTTCAGGGCAAGAACCTGTAGCTACTGCCAAACTATGATTTTTTTTTCTAATATGACAGAAAACACATTGTAGACATAAAAGATCATTAAACTACACTTTCAAGCAATAACATGTCTCTAGTAGGGGAGCATTATACAAAGTACATGCTGTTTACAACAGCTACCATAAAATTTGCTGCAATCTCATTCCATATTTGAAGTCCTTTAAATTACAAAAAATATATGCAATCTCAACTACCATTCAATTGCTTTTAAATTTACCTCATTAAAATCCTTTCTTAGAACAAGTGGTAGCAGCACATCCAACTGCACTGCTAAATTTTTTAATCAGAGATCGAGAATTTGCATATATTGCAAATTGATTTTTCCATTTTTCTTCATAGCACCTTCCTACAAATCATTCTTAAAGATCATAAGAATAACATTTCCTTTTTCTAACATACAAGACCAAGTATATAACAGCTTTTCTTTTCCTTCCAGAATGGAACACCTGATGTCACTATTTGTTAACTGTTGTTACTACTCACTCCAATCCATTTAGATCTATATTATTACTTAAGAAAGACAAATTCTAAAAGAAAATATCAAACAGGGCAATAAAACCAAAAGCAAGCTTTTTGTCACTGCACAAACCAATGCCTGCTTATACATTTCTTCATTATTTTCAAGTTGAAAAGTAAGGCTAAAGTTTCCTTACAATAAACCCATCAGTAAATTTATCGTAGCACTAAATACAGCCTGCCTTGTTGCTAGTGTACAAGGATTAATGCAAAAAACTAGTTCATAAATAGAAATGTTTTTTTACCGGAGAATCAAATGCAGTGTGATTAATTTTTTCCTGTTTAGCAACCATAATTATGACATGCATTGTACATCTACCTACATATACAAACACAACTGTTACTTGAAGTTGAAAATCTGAAAATTAACATTTACCATCTACTTTAGTAGTAAAATTCAAATCAGTTCAGTAATTCGTAACAATTTACAGGTGGGCAGAGAAACCATACAGAATAAATTTACAGTAGGTATTTATCACACCTAGGCAATGAAATTACATGAGCTGTATATTCATTATTTGATTTGTATTTAAAAGGTTGTTCATACAAAGGTCATACATCTGCTCCATAACTGTTCTGATAAAAGGAAATACAGGAAGCAATAAGAGGCACCTTTATATATCCTAGGCTATAATAGTTATCCTATGAAGAATGTAATTCATGCAGTGCCCAAGTCCTGGAGATTCTGTGTTAAAAAGGCTAATAAAATCACATATTCAAATTAACTGGAAACTCCTTTCTGTTCTAGATGAAAAGGTTTGGAATGCACTATAAAACCAAAACATACACATTTCCCTTCTGCCTACAAAACCCAATGTAAAAAGCAACAAAACCTTGCTTTGTACCTAACAATTACTTTAGCTTAAAATAAGGGGATAAAACAAGGCAGATTTTCTCATTATAAAAATATTTTATATAAGGGAGGAGATGAGATTCTCAGACAATTATATGAGAATAAAAATTGTATTTACTTCAATGTCAAAAAGCCTACATGCTTAAAAGAATTTTTGGAGTGAGACTTCATACTGTTCATATTTAACCAGCCTCATTATTCCTTTTCAGAAAACTCATTTGCCATATTTTGAATACCTCAACTATTTGTATTAGACATACTTGTTCAAATAAAGACAGAATTTGATACTGAATTAAAGAAAACAAGGTCTTTTCTAATATAGAAAATGCATCATTGAGCTGTTTTATTTCACCCCCACAGCAGAGTCAATATTAAATCCTACCACAGCTCTCACTTTTGAAACAACATATGCAGCAGTGGGGTCTCTATGCAATGACCATTTTGCTACATTTTTTTTGTACTAACAATAACAACATTTCTTTATTGGAAGAGAATTCCCATGAACAAAAGAAATTACAAAGGAAATCTATCAAGAAAAATGTGTGCTTGCTTAAAATAAAGTTTTAACAATTGTGAAAAAATTTAAGCATTTGTTCTCTGAAAACAAATATTTTTCCTCATTCTCCTTCCAACTGCACTAATTCCAATTCAAAAGTCTCACAACAGTAATGTTAAGAAAAGCACCCATCTAATCCTGGTTTGAAGGATCTTATAAGCTTCTGCAATATGTATCTATTTCAACAACCTGATTTTTGTCATATTCTCAGAATTCATCTTTCAAATCAACTGCGTAAGAAAATTTTTCAAGCACATCCCAGTTGCTTTTAAGTTTAGAAGCAAAAGTTCTACACAGCAAAAGCAGACTCGAGAGACTCACATTAATCTTTTGGGCTTATTTAGTCACGCCATTTCAAAGTGTTAAATAATAACCCATCTATCACAACAATAGCTAGTATTTCTTAAAGCAACCAGAAAATCCCCACTTTCAAACTTAAATCATCTTATGTTAACTCATTCACGGTAAAGACTGAAATAAGGGCAAATCTGACTCATGTATAAGCATACATGGAAAGGCGGTTTTCTCAAATTTAAAGAAATGTTTTCTTAGATGAAACAGTAAGGGCAAATACTTTTCCTTAACAGCTTTGGGTTTTAGTTGTTGTGATATACAACACTGCATAAAGGTAAGTCTTTTTTTCAGCAAGGAATCTAATTGTAACTCAGCTTCTCAAACAAAGCATGTTAGAAAGTAAAATCAGATCCTCTAACAGAAAAGCAAAAAACACATAAAATAATTTCTTAACAGAGGGAACACATAATGAAAAGTGTTATTCTAAAGCAGTGCAGAGCTGAGGCAGCAAAAGGAAGAAAAATTGGTTTATTCTTTGTCCAGTACGAGGATGGTTCAGGAATGATTTGTTTTTTTAAACACTGTTCTTTTGCAGCTATCACATTCTGAAATGATTAGAACATAAAATCCCCATAGGAAGGACATGGTCAGTCTCAGACAATTTTGTTGTGAATGTTACACCAGCCAAACCATTCCGCCAGTTTACAGTGTACCATAAAATATTTACACAAGCTATGAACTATAAAATATTTTCACATGAACTATAAAATATTTACACTATCAACATCAGTTAGGAAAGAATGATGTGCTGTCAAGCTGGTGTGACCCAGGAGTAAAGATTTTGTGGTCGCAGATTAAATAAAACTATTGCAAATCATCTGGAAAGTTACAGGGACTATTAGGTTAAACAAATTACTGCTTCCTGGTCTCTTGGATGGTAAATGTAACCAGGAAAGCACAGCTTATATGCTTTAAGCTAGGTTTTAGCAACAAGATAGAGAAGGGTTAGGCTCATAATCAAACTGTACTGACCTCTCTGAATGTTCCTTCTAGCAAGGTGTCCAGATGTTGAAGAGGAGCAGGAGTTTTATCTTTGAATCGTGTCAGCAGTCGTCGCTCAATAGCTCGAAACTGTACGGCCCTTTCAGATAACAGCTCCTGAAATTTTTCAGCATTCAAACGTAGCTGCAATTTAAGAGTTTTCAAGAATTCAGATTAAGGGTCATATATATTGTATGCACATTGCAAATGAAACGGGAGAAGTTTAGTAGAATTTTTGCGACAGAGTGTATTGTACAAATATGATTGTCGTTCATACCAGTTTGATATTTTACACTCCTCATAAAGCTTTTTAATGTTTCAGGAATTATCATTTCCTACTGAATTCAACACTAATTGTCAACAGCCAGAATAAAATGTGAAAATGCACATTTTCACATCAAGAAGCCTATTAACAAGACTGAAATTTCACCACCAAGACCTGAAGGCTTGGTTTGGTGTGCTATTTATGACACATACACAGTGTATTGGACTTGATATTCATTGTAGTAGAAAGCATGAATAGAAGTACTGGATTCTGTACTGTTTGAATGATTGCCTTTTTCTGAAGTGAAATCCTTTTTTCCTTTTTATGCATACTGATCAGCTATAGCAATAAACTTCCTCGAAGTGTTCACAAAACTTTGAACATTGTATATCAAATGTTCAGACGATAAAAAGTCTTATTTTATCTATTAATCATCACTTACTAGTACATGCCTTTAACATAAAACTGACTAAAGATGAGTCTTTCAGAAAACTGAGATACCTCTGTACAGCTGACATGCTATAACTAGCAGAACAAACATCAAGACACTCAGCTTTCCACATGTGAGTAAAAATGCCCCAAAATGAGCAGAAATTTCCTAAATTTAGAAATCGGATTATATTTAAATATAAGGAAACATATCTTTATGTCAGCACATGATTATGAACAACAGTTCAAGGAAGTGAAGAGAAAAAGAAATATTATGCAGCTTCTCTAGAAATAGTAGTAAAAAAGGGGCATCTCAGGTAATATTCTCCCAGGTTTGTCAAAAAAGAGTGTGTTGAAACTAAGAGGGATGGGAGCATAAGGACCCACTTTATAGACTATTTAGATCTTTTGGGACCAAATAATTATTGGAAAATTTCAGAAATTTCAAAATAGCCAGCTGCTACCTAACTAGATCCTAAATTAGCGTTACAGCAATAATACCTATGTTTCAAACTTCAACGTATTTAGGCTTCACTAGATTGTACCACAAGCTTATGCTTACAGTATTTCTACCAGTCACTTAAAAAACCACAAACATTTTGACTTTCAAATTAGCTGAACAACTAGCCATGAGCTTAAGACTAGGACCTAGGTTGACCCCTTAAAAAAAATCCCAGAAAATTCCAACTACAACTTCCATCTTTCTGTATGGTGATGGCTCAAACTCACAGAAAATGTGGCAGTATGAACAAACATCCAACAGTATTTCTCATTCTTACATACATATGTTGCTTTTATCAAATACACAAGTTTAATAGAAATCTTCAAATAGCTATTCCCTTTTTTTACTGGAAAGGTGTGGAGGGAAAGAATGGATATATTTTATTCTATTAGCTATTTCTACAAGCTATCTGAACTACTGGAGATTTTTCATTGTCATCTGCATAGTCAAACAGGAAAAAGTAATTACATTTCTTTTATATCGGTTTGGTAAACTTTCTTGAGCCTCCAGCTTGATCTGCAAGGGCAGCTTTTTTAGACACTGAAGGGACTTTCCATATAATTACCAGGATGACTTGGGGGAAAAAAAAGTGGTCATGGTTTCCTTAGTACGGAAGAGCAAAACAGCCTAAAACTAAGGGCAAATTTTGAAAGCATTTTACAATTAACATGATGTTAGTGAATGAAAAATTCATGGCTTCTGTACAGGCAGTGAACAGAAGGGCAAATACTGGTTCCTTAATTTGTATGATTTGCAGACTGCACACTGGCTACATGTGCTCTGCTAATTGCAAGGGCTGTTTCAGAGGCAAGGCATACTCCGTACTTTAAAAACCAAATTATGACATTTTTTTCCAGAACTATCTTAGATATAACCTTCTATTTTCTGAAAGCCAAATGCCTGTGATAGCTATAGTTATAATCTGATTAATCATTGTACTAACATACAATTTTAAACTAGCAGAACACTAAGGATTCACATATCATGTAACATACCTCAAAATGTCGATCAATTAGTTCAAAATATTCTTGCAGAGGAATTGAACCAGAAAAGGTACATGCAAAATCTTTGCAGTTTTGCTTCTTGAAATGTTCCTCTAGTCGGCGTGTGAGCTCTTTCGTTATCAGCCAAAGGTCTTCCAACTGGTCGCTCTGGATCCTATATCGTTCTTTGAGCACAACAGATACAAGACTAATAAACACACACTTAAGCCACATACATTCACTACACAATATAGTTTAGATAACACGCAAGTTGAACGTGCTAATTGTACCCTAAGTCTACATGAGATTTTCTTAAGAGATACATGTTCACTTGTGTTAAAGAAATACTTGTATTTTGTTGATGTTGGTCCTAAGTACTATCCCTTTTATCCTAATTTTAACAGGCAATTTTGTGGCACAAGACTCTTTTTTAAGAGTATGGACCTATTTGTGAAGAAAAAAAAGCTATGAAGAACTACCACAATAAGGAAACAGGAGAGTTATATGAAATCATATATGAAAATATATGAATATATGAAATCATAAATGTATGAAATCATAAAACAGGCTGTCTGCAGTGCTCTGCCATAACAACTTTAGTGAGCTTTTCTCAGGGCTGGAGACAGAATCAGGCTCAATTAACTTTGAACTGTGACTGAGGCACAGTATTTTAAGCATCTGATGGTAACAAGCGAGATGGTAACATCTCGTGGTAACAAACCACCTTTAATGTCTTTTGGAAACGGTTATTGAGTTCTTCAAATAATACACTCAATATCATTTTTATTACATCTCCACTTCCTAGGAAAACTTGTAGTAGGAAAAGTATTAGTCTAACTACTCATAGGCAACAATATTCAGCTTTGATAGTGCTATGCTTCACTCTAGACACAGCTAATATTAGTAGAAGGTGATTCTTATCCATCTACACACTATGGCTTTGTAAAAATGGCTTAGTGTAGGAATGAAAGTGTTAATATAAATCAAATCCTGTTAGCTAATGTTATCTCTCCCAGCAAATGAATTTCAAAGTATCAGGCTAGTGGGGTGAGATTTTATTTCTAGTCCACATTTGTATAATCCCCTCCTCAGGTTCCAGGAAATCAGAATTAACTAAATGTCGAGAGGAAAACATTATGGAAAATCATAGAGGCCCTTTAATTATTTTTCTTATTTTTTTCAGACAAAACACAACAACCAACAGTTCCTTATTTGTTTTCATTATGTATCTACCAATACCTTATAAAAGAGGATAGATAGAAATGCAGCCATGACGATTTGATACAAAATAGTTCTCTTTTTTGCCCATATTAACAAGGTCCACAGTAAATTAAATTAACCAGAATTCTTTAGTACTTGAATGCACTTATTTAAAATTTTCTCAACATAAGTAATTCAAGATTGTTTGACATTAGCACTGGCATCATTCCCAGGATACGTATTTCACTGAATACAGAATGAAAAATTCTGTTTACAGTGTAACAGGAAAGAGCAAGTTTTATTTAAAAACATGCTTGTTAAAGAAAAGAACACCATCTGCTAAAGATAACATTCAACCTAATATCCATTTTTTAAATACTCACAGTGTAATGGCTGGACCTACTTGGATGTATCATCATACTTTGCTCTAAGTGATTCTTCCTTGAGAGAAATTAGCTCAGATGTTTTCAGGCCAAATCAACAGTCATTCCATTTATAACTGACATATCTAATACATTAATGGTTTCAAATGGACAAAACTAATTTCCGCCAAAATGCATATTTTGTTTCCATACATTGTTTGTTGGTCAATACAAACACAATCTAATTTTATCGTGGCCTGAGTAGAGAATACTGCAATTATTTGTTTTACATGATCTTCCAGCTTTCAAAAAAGACAAATTAAATTTAGAAACAGTAAAAAAATGAGAATCTGTAGTTTTACTAAACGCATTTTAAACAGAAATACTGAAAAAAAATAAAGAAATAACTGTGCTTCTGTTCATCACATGCTTTTATGATGGTTAACAAACTCAAATTAGCTTTTTGTTAAATAAGTTCCATTCCAGAAAGTTACAAAAGATTTTCAGAAAATTATCAATCAGAAAAGAAGGAGACTGAGGAGCACAAACAGGTTACATAGGTTACAAAGTCTTCTAACACTACAACAGGTTGTCCAATGAGCACAACCTAAATTAAGAATGGCTGCTCTGCCAGTAGGTTATCTGAAGGAAGTCTAGAAGGTTCGGTTCACTTCTCAGTTAGGAAGTCCATATCAGCAGAAAAAAACCCATCCACAGTTAGCAGTCAAGCTTCTCTACACTTTGACTAAAAGACAGTTTAAAAAAGTATCCCCCAAATAAAACATTAAAATCTAAGTCTATCTGAGACAAGCTACTTTTTGATATGTATTTTCTGTCAAGATGTACTTCAGGTTGGCCTTCTTTGCAGCAGTCTTGACAGGCTGAAGTAACATATTCAATTACTACACTGTTCAAAATGGATTAGCTAATACAATTAAAAACAAACATGAAAACAGACATCGATCCTGCCTGCAGTTTCAGCAGTGAAACCCAACTGAACCTGGAGAGCTTCATTTCTACATGCAGCTCTTCCTATCCAGAACTTAAGGTCCATTTAATATGGGATATGGAAAAAGAGGTCTTCTTCCATTGGCCAAAATAAACTTCTTTCATTGAAAACCAGAAATAAGGCCTGATCTCAACATTTTTTTTTTACTTTTCTAACACACCATTGCTTCTAGTCAATATTTATCTACACATACTATTTTCTTTTTGAAGAACATTTCCACAGTGATAATGTTGCATAAACAGTTTTACAAAGTATAAGATCAGTGTTAATTTACACAGCAGAATAAGGATCTAATAAATAATACATAATTTCATCTACATTCCACAGCAGATCTGTTCACTCAAGCACAATCATTTTAGTATCATGACATTCTACCAACAATGCTTTTGTATTATGGACAGTCTCTGTTCCAGAAAATATCCTGAATTATGCTTGAGTATCGGACTTCTTACAAATGTATTTTTTTTAATCAGTTTTACTTAGGTAACATTTCAAGCAAGCAAATGCTCCCTAAGAACTTCTCTAACCAATGCAATCCAATGCATAATCTGGATGCTGAGATCAGGCTGTTAACATAGAAGATGGCATCATACTACTCATTCATTTTCTGAAGTTAGGATTCCCAGATGCAATAAATGAGTAGTCACACTAGGAGAAACAGATATTTTGAATCTCCTCTGTAAAGTGAACCTCACAAGTAAAGCAGTGTGGGAAAGTTTATTGTAAGACTGCAAACACCATCTCTAGCTAGTGAATAAACAAACCTGAGGGGAAAAGATTGAGGATTGGGATGGGTGGGTGTGAGATTACAAGTTATAGCCTCACTAGAAACTAAAATACATTATATAGACATAAACTTTTCCTTACACAGCATCAGAATGCAAAATGAAATCCAAATCAAAGATTTAAACTATAATCCAGAAAAAGTTATTTATAAATCCTTTAAATTTTTTAGTTTTTAGAAACTATCAGGTCTGGGAACTTGCATGTCTAGTTAGTTGAAACTGTTTCAGATCTACTATTTAAAGAAATATTAAAAACAAACTAACAATAAACCAGTATGTAAATTATGCATACAAAAAACAATACAAATGAATTTGAACCTTAGAAATGTAAAGCAATTCTCGGTACAAAGACAGTTACTCTGCAGATGGTTTCTGTTTTTAACACATTTGATTACATTAGAAAAGGTATTATCTCATAGTTTACAGCTGACACCACCGATATTTATATATCCCATCATGGAAAATGGACTTTTGAAAACAGTAAGGCAGATCATCTTTGTGTCAAAAGGATTTCACATCCACAAACTAGATTGTGATTTTTCACTCAAAACAGTCTTCATAAAGCATTCACACAGTGTTCCAACTGAGCTCTCTGCAATGCACAATAGGTGTTCTAGCTTTTCAATTTGTAGTCTGCTGTATTAAATGAAGACTTTGTGCTCTGCTGGCATGGAAAATGCTAAACACAATTGAACTGATTTGGTTCCAATGCACATGCCAAGAAAGAGTTCAGCAAGTTGAGCAGTTTACAGAGCAAGACACCATAAACTCTCCAAAATACAGAGCATCGATCTTTTTCAAAGATTACAAACTCACAGGTGGCTGAAACATGACTACTTAATTCACAAACTACTCTGTACAAGAGACACTGGACCAGATAACAGCATAACTGCATGTGTGTTCTGTAAACATAATAGGAAGGATCTTGAATCCATAATTCTATACTTACAAAGGTATACACGTATCTAAAGATAACAGCCAGGCATTTACTCAGATGTAGAGAAGCAAGGAGGGTTTGATGCCTAATTTAAGTCACAAATTACTGAAAGTCAGTGAAAAGTTAGACACCTGCTTTTTAATCCCTTTCAAAAATTTCAGTAGGTGACTAATTCCAAACACAGGTGTTGAAATTCCTTTGGGAAAAGAGAAAGTTTTTCCTTATTGCAATGACAGTATTAATTTATGAATAAAAACATTGCTAAAAATTTGAAGAAAATCCATTTTCTTCAGAAAACTGCCACTATATTTTGAGTGTGACTTTTTGTTTTGTCATAAAATTTTGTACCTCCCTAGTAACATAATTATATACCTGAGAGAGAGATAAGAAATGGTTGGTTAACACTGTGAAACTCCTGTGGTAATTCATACACCGTGATTATCCTTCTTCATATGATCAACATTCTCACTTTGTACATATATTAACAGATGATCAGGCCTCTTTTACATTAATACTAATAGCACTTACGTGATGTCTTTGAAGCAAGAAGAGTGGTTTTTGAACCAGTTAAAAATAGAAATCCCAGAGCATTTGCCTGGTCACCCTCAGATGGATCAACAAAGTCTAAAAAAGAAAGTTAAATACAGTTTTCTATAATTTGACACTGGTTTTCAACAAACCTCAATCCATAGCCAGGACTATGTCAACCTTCACACAAGCAAATGAATGGGATTGTTTCCCTTCTTAGGGTTCAAAAGTAATGAATATCAGCAGTAGTTTGGTATATCCCCCCTTCATTCACAGGTGGAAACTGAGCTACACACTGGTTGTTCTTTCCCAGCCTGAAAACAAAAAGGTAGGTTTCTCAGAGGTTCAGTCTGTACCATCTAAAAAGAATTGTGATTGGTGAAGAGCCCAAAGACTACCACCTTCTACCATATGCAAGATCATCTTTAATTCAGATATTTATGCAAAAAAAAATGCAGACATTATCATGAAAATATTTAAGTACACTCTCTCCAGCTTTCAGCACAGAGCAAAACAAGCATCTAGGTTGCTAAAACTAGCTACTCTGCAAAGTTCATGCAAGTCCACCTTTCTTTTCATTCAGTGTAGTGCATAATATGAGTTTAAATGGCTTCATTTTAGAATACCATACTTCAAAAACTACTCCATGTCACGTCTACTCCCAAACTTCTCCTAAAAATAAGGCAAAACAAGGAGAAGAGATACAACTTTTACTGCATACACCCATAATTCAAAGTTCATTCACAGATCACGTCATAACCAGCATACTTTTTTTTTAACACTGTAAATGGAATGAACAGAAATCAGAATATTTTAATGCCTTCTTAGTCCAATGGTTTGTGTTGTATTTTCCACAATGCATCCCTAGGTTAAAAATAAAATACAATGTGCTATTCTGAAAGCATTATTGCTTAGCCATAATGGAAGCCCATTATGAAAACCTCAAAATGTAGACATTTGGAAAAAAGGTTCTCTGTTTCAAGTATTACACAACACACCCATTTGAGAGAAAAGTAATATTTACCCTTAAAGTGAACAGAATCATGCTACAAAAAAAACCAACCAAGCCTTCTCTACTGCTCTCAAATGTACGATATAAGTTTTTCAAAAAAAAAAAAAAAAGCAGCCCCACCTTAAAAGTATCATATTAAAGTTGTTGGTCCACACAGCTCTCAGAAAACTGCTGCAGAACCTTAGTCCTCTGAAGTTCAGGAACTTAATCACTGCCAGACTGAACTTTCTCTCAATCACTTTATAAGTTCTGTTTATTCGTTTCTTTTTGTGCTAATATGATCATCTAGATCCATGATGCAGCCACAAAATATTTACTGAAGTCAACAATATTCTCTTTTTTTGCCTGCATTTTATTAAGATAAATGAGTCACTTTCTTTAACTTTCCTCTTCAAATCCCTAGATAACATTCATAGCCTTTTTTCTACACTTCTGAGTTTGAACTAATTTTTATTTAATATCAACAACCAGCACTCAGTGTGCCAGGGCCTAGTAACATAATATTAGTTTCCTGCATGGAACCATTTTGTCTAATACATCCTCAGTTCTTATTTGTTTGCTTATGATTACATCATATTATACCACAGAGTATTCCTGTGGTAACTTCTACCTTCTCTCTCTTCCAAATTATGAGCACCTAATTATAGCAGAAATTATTTTCATAACATTACAGTACTCAATTTCATTCTTCTTTTTCCAGTCCCAAATGGCACCTAATTTCTCCTTCAAACTGGTTTAATGTAATTCTGAGTACAAAACAAAGCTCAGGTTTGCACATCAGAAAATACCGCTGAGTACAAATCTTCTTCTTGGTCCAAGAAGGGTAATGGAATTATTAAATAAGATCAGCTTCAGATCGATATATCAAAAATTCCACAAGTCTTCCTCTAAAGCAACTATACTTCTTCCATACAACATTGACCACTTCTGCTTTACCCTACCCTTTTTTTTCAAATGAATGCCCATGTTTTCCCTATTACAACACTACTTCTGCAATTTTATGTAAAATGACTTTCTAAAAATTAGACCTATATCATGAAATCTGCAGTTTAACCATAGATAGACAAACAATTCCTGTTGGAAGCCTCTAACACATTTCCGATTACAGACATATTTAAAAACCTACCTGGAAAAATGGTGAGAAAACTGACGGGAGGTTTGTTGGTATCAATAGTTAGCTTGTGGTTTGCTGCTTTTGAAGGCTGAGATGGAAAGCAAACTAAGCGCAAAGGCAGACTGAAGTTACACTGCGCGACTCTCGATATTCCTGAAATCACACAACACGGATTCATTTCTCATGCCCATATTCTGAATACAAGATACTTCATACCACTGTCCTCAAAGAGGTACAACAAGATACCTTTAAGATGATTAAGGAATATGTTAAACCAAAAACTATGTCAAATTCTTAATTTTTGTTAACTTTTCCTCCTGAAGCACCTTTAAATTTGAATACTTTTAATTACCTTTTCAAGTGAACATTTGTCTATAAATGGGAAAGCAAGAGTTACTGATGAAATTTACTGCATACTTGTATTTATATCAATTAAAATGCAATAAAGATTAGATTTTATTTAACACTCTAGACAAACAATTCCACTTTAACATACACAACAGTTGTGTGATTATTCCTGATCCTTCAAACGCAGAATTGAAGCATGAACATTTTTATCAGGAATATCCAAAACTAAATGATTTTTAAGAACAGATTTACTTTTTTTTTTTAATATTCTTAAAAAGCATCTATGCAACCTTCATCTCTCAGAGGTTTATGGCTTAGAAAAGAATGTATCTAATAGAGATTATTACCCAAAAGTATATTAAGTTACATCTTTCAACTCATTGCAACATAATAGAACAGAACTGTAGAACAAACTGGCTACTGCCTTGAGTATTGGGATCTATTGTCATATGCAACTTATTCAGAACGGTGCAAGAGAAAAGAGGAAGTTTTAACACTAACACCTAGAAAAGACAGTTGAATGTGTCAAAAATTTTCTCAGATATTGCTGGCATGTCAGCAATTGTCTGATATGTTCCATGTGAAAGGCAAAAGTGCTAGTTGCTATGAAATACGGAGTACTTGCTCTTTTGAGCAGGCAGATTATGGGGGCTTTGAGACCATTTGTTTTTTTATGAAGCAGCTACATGAAAACCTAGTTTAACAATAATAGATTTTTAGAGACAATAAAGTAAGTAACTGTCAGAAAAGTCATGAAACTGATAGCTACATAGAGATTATCACTCCTGTAAGCTTTGCAGGTTAGTATAAAACTTGAGCTCAAACATTTAATAGCCATCCAAGCAACCCTTTTTGATAACAATTTTGTTTGCTTCTTCGCAGATCTCTTGCAACGAAAAAATTACTTCTAAGACTCATCTGAGGGAAAAAAAATGTTACTAGAAGGCTCAGATTCATCTTTCTGGTTGTCAATTCATTAGATCTTTTGGCTGGCTCATAATGCCTCCAAGTGACTATTCCACAGCAGCTTGTACAATACAAAATCATAGTAAAATGAGCAGAAAGCTCATTCAAACCAAAGACAGGCCCTCAAACTTAGGATAACCCCAGGTTCCATGGAAAATTCCTGAAGGAATATTTGAAAGTAAACTCATGACCTTTCAGAATGATTCATTCAACTGGATCTTCACCATCTGATGGGAAAAGTAAAATCTGCTCTTGATGACAACATAACACAAACATCTTACTATTGAACTTAGATGTGGAGACTTATCAACAGGAAAAAATTAAGTGATGAAAGTAGCCAGAAAGACTTTAAACATTTTCATATTTAAAACAAGGTATTTTCCTTCTTTTTTTCAAATCAGCTTTTTCCTATACAGTCTGCTGTCAGTCTGCCTCATCATAAACATAACTTTTCAATATTTCAGACAAAAGTCAAATCAAAACTAAATCAAATATTATCTAGCTTTGGAAGGTGACTGGGGAGATTTCTAGTTGATTAATCCAAAACAACTATATATAAGAACAACCAAAAGCTCCAGCAAAATCTATCACTACAGTGAAAACTCTACAAAGAAGTAGCAATGTGTGGAAGTCAGAAGTTTTTCAGCCCATTGATGTTATGTCTAGCAATACATCTCACTTCATCTACAGTTGGGATACTTTGCATAATTTCAGCTCTGTAATAAAGAAAAAAAAAGTGGGGAAAAAATTCAGATTCTCTTTAACCTGAAACACAATAGAAACTGTCTAACATCTCATAAAGTACTAGTATGTAAAGGCATACTGTGCACTTATCTGATAAAAGTAATAAAACAGTTAATGCCTTGTAGTTACTATTTCACTTCCAAGTTATTCATTCGTTCATTTAATTAAATTTGAAACATAACATTAATGTACACTATAAAAAGCATTAAAAAAAAGCATTAGAACTCAGATCTCCATGTTAAATATTCAGAATTGGTACTTGTTCCAGTATGCACAACCCTAAATTTAAGTAGTCCAGTGCACCTCACAGTAATCCAAACAGATTTTGTCCCAGATGATTCTACAAAGTTTGCTGTGTGGAATCTCAGCAATATTCTCTTCAGCAGCAGGTTTTCATCTTGAGTAGATAGTTCTTAACAAAAACTCCAATTTTTCATTTTTAGGATGTTATTCTTTGAAACTATATAGATTTCTTTTATTATATTTTATTGATAATTAATTTTTAAAATACTTTGTATAGCAGAAATATGCCACAAGAAAATAAGTATTCTTGTCAAGAGTAGTATCTTATTGAGATGGTTCTAGCGTCTATTTCCTGTAGGGTTCACTGAAATATCCAGAAACCAGGGTACCATTAACACAGTTATTTACTTTTTACTTCACTTACTATGCTCAAAAGAGCATAAGTATTGAAAAATTAGACTCAAATACACATCCATCTATAACTTCTGTATAGGAAAACTGCAAAACTGAAAATACCCTTTCAGTTGATCTCTAAACCTATGACAAGCAACTACTTTACCTTCCCAAAACACGAAGGAATTTGTATTTACTATATATTATTAACGTTCATAAAATATTTTGTACAAGCACTACATCTTTTCAACATATCTACTACTGCACTGCAAAACTACTCTTCTCCCTTTTTAGTCTAGGTATACATAAGCTAACTTTCCAGTCTTGTTTTGTCTTTTAATTGTAGCCTTTCCAAGAATCATAGCTACCATGATCACAGCAGAGTTTTTGTACTGCTGGTAGTCTCAGATAGAAAGCAGCCTTTTAGCCTTGAATAAGATGTTTCCAATGGGAACTGAAACAAAGAGATGTTGTGACATCATTCTCAGAGCTACTCAGTCCAAACAGCATAGCACTAGCCACGAATCCTTAATAGTTGTTCCAGTTGCACCAAACAAAGCTATAATTTAGCTGCCTTAGGTCTTGCTAAAACTTGAAAAAATAGCTAAAAATATGGTAAAGAAAAATCACACAATTGTTCTGAATTTCCAATCTCAATGCAGAAGGCACTTAATACTTTGTAAAATTCCTGTTACACACAAGGAAGTGCAATATACTTCACTAAGAAATATCTTTACTACTTTCTATTTTCTATATTCACACTATATTCACATAGCATCACACCAAGGATAATAAGAACTTGTAGAAATAATAGCTAAAATAACAGCTCCCTTCCAATTCTGCTTTATTCAGCATATACTGTCACTCATGAAACTATTCAAACTTTGCATTTTTTCATTTACTTACCTTCAGGATTGAGTTCTACCATATAACCAGCAATGGGACAAAAGAAAAAAAAAAGAGAATACATGAGATACTACTCAAATAAGAAAAAAAGAGAAAATGCAGTAACAGGTTTTTAAGAATTTAAGACACATTTGTTAAGTAGACAATACATAAAGATATGATACTAGCCAAAAACCAGACATGAGACCACATTCATCAATAGTGCAACCCCATCCACCTGATTGACTCATTAAACTTCAGCTGGATGAATTCCAGAGATAGACTCAAGACTGATTTGGTCACAAATACAAATATCTTAAAAAAAAACAAAAGAGGAAAAAGGTTCTTTTCAGACAAAATGAAGTCACAAAGGCACTTAATTTTTATTTACTAGTATATTATACTTAAGGATTTGTCTGCCAAGCAACACTAGTATTTGTATGTAATCGAATTATCATAGCTTAATAGTGTAAATAAATATCCAAAAATTTAGCAGATCTAAATTATGTTCCTTTAATTAAAAGTCTTCCAAATTCGACCATCAAAGGTAAGTTTTTAAAATTTCTTCTTCAGTTGCCTAATTCTGTTAGATGTCATGTCTGCTTGTTCTTTTTTTTAATCATATATAAACCATGAAACATACTTGAGATGTAAGATTTCTTTACTCCCCTAACCAAAAGAACTGCCAAATCCAACCTAACAACTAAAATATAAGTGTACGTTTAACTAGTATTACCTGAAAGAAATAAAACATTCATTTGCTGGTCTTCCAAAGCAAAATCACAGAAACAAGACCAGCAAAACAAAAAGCAAGCTTTTGAAATCAGAGGATCCAAGATACTGATAAGTCACCTGTACAGTGATCCCACAAAACCTGTCTAATCCACAACACTAATTTAGATAGTTACAAATGTACAGCATGTCATTCACAAGGAATATGAAGTCAGAATCACATTACAGAGGGACTAAAGTTGTACAAGCTGTTCATGCAGGCTCTCAAGAAGAAGGGAGGAGCATCCTTTCCACTCCCACCCTCCGCACATATCTGCAAGCCATGTCTAAAAAGGGTAAGATCAAGTTCTTTAAAAACACAAGTTCCAGTTGTGTCTAGAAATAAACATTTCAGTCATAGCACAGCATAGACTATCACCATAAACACAATGTTTCAAGTATGAAGTGATGTGAAGGAAATGCTTACATAAAAGTGTCTATATTGGATAAGGTACTCAAGACCACCACCCTTCACAGAAGCCCTACATTAACTTATAAGTCTTTCATGTCAATCTACTCCGTTTTTGCTGGCATAGCTCTGTCTTTGCACAGTGAACTAAATCAGCAAATCTGGCTGAGAAACAACTGTTGATTGTGTAAGAACAAAAGGGGAGGAGGTGCAGGAGCAAAGCCAAGCAGTGAGAAGCAAAGAACTGACAGCTTTAACTGGTTTATGCAGCATTTAACTTAACATGGAAGCCCTCCTAAATATAGTTTCTCAGTAACCTGACATATTCACAAAGCTGTGTGTAGAAAACTAAGCTAATCAGTTATGGATATCAGGAAAAAGTTACATATTCTATCACTAGGATCATTAGGGCATTACAAAATAACAACTTGGTTTCTATCCTTTGGGTTAGTTTATTTGTTGAGAATGAATATGTTCATCTGTTAAAAAGGAAGTGATGAATAATCACTCCTAATGCTTATTCAAATCTCCTCCTCTGTGGGGAGGTAGTTTTCATCACATTTGTCGGCAGACCAGAAGGCCGAATAGTCATAAAGGCGTAACCAACTTCTCACTCCAAGAGGTGGTCCCTTAAAGAGCAGAACAGAAGCAAATTGATAGGACAAGATGGGAAAGCTGGTACAGCTGTTTCACAAGCAATAAGCTTATGACTTTACCTTTGTAAGGCCAATTACATAACTTGATGCAACATAAAATATTAACTAAAACTGAAGACTAGATAAGCATTATTTCTTTAATTACTACTGTCTTCAATATATTTCAAAAGAAAATTTATAAGAAATATGTGAGGAAAAAGGCCTCAAAAAAATATAAATTAATTTGAAATCTCCAGTGGCTTACCTGTTGGTATATTATATGAAACCATGCAATTTCCTTCTAATTCTGATGGAGTACAATTCCCCTTCAAAAAGACAGACAGGACCACAGTTTCAGATGAATCCGGTTCTAAAAACAACACAAAATTAAATCAAGTAATAGGAGCATCCAAATGAACACAACATATTTCCTAGCAGTTTGGGAATTATTCTGCTAAACTATGGTAGTTGTTTCCATTAGTTCACCTTCATCAAATCACGGTACGTGCTTTTTTAAAAAAATCTTTTATTTGTAAAAGGCAAACTTGGGCCTCCAGCTATCTTGAAGCATAACCAATAAAACAATTCAGCACACTGAATATGGAGAATATAAAAACAAATGCAGCTTTATGTTATGATTTTAATATTTTACAAAGCCATCAGTCATCACTCCTGCCACATGTTGAGAAAACATAAGAACTGTCCTTTCAGATGAGAATAGCAGTCAATAAAGCCCTGTTTCAATAGGGACCATTACTGCACATTTCAGAGCAGAAATGGTCTGTAGTCACAACTGAAACAGCAGGCACACTTGTCTCATCTTGAGCTCCACTTAGTCTTCAAGGCAATTCCACCTGCAGTCTCATCAACAAAGTTAGAAAAAGGCTACAATCCTTAAACAGTTGATGCTAAGCTGAGAACATATGCTGGACTGTCCACCAGCACACAAACTTTCCGTCCCTTCCTGTAGCTCAATACTGCCATTTCTATATAGACAGAATTATCAGCAAAAAAAAATACCCCAGAAGAAGTACTACAGAATAACTGATTTTTTTTTTGCCTCCATCATAAAGCTGCCACCCCACCTCTCCTCACCCGCCACCCATCATACCTCAATCGATGAAGCAACTCCATTCCTTTCTACTCCATCTTCCTCCACTAAGCAGTATCAAGAAGACGTGGAGTGCAATAATGCACTTGATGGAAGCTGGACTACACCTTTCCAATATCCTCAGATACTGTAATGGTACTATAATAATTTACCTAAATCATCAAAGACGAACTGGTCACAGGTCACTGCTAACGGAGCTTGCACACAGACTGCCAGGCTCGGCTTCTGCGCAGCCACTCTGCTCTGGACTGTTATCTAAATCAAGTGACACAAAGAAGTATTTAAGGGAAGCAACAAATTTATCTCTGTACAGCAGGAAAAAAGACATAACCAACAAAAAGATATAAAAAATTTGCAAAGACCAATTCAGCAACAATGTTTCAGAACTTAAAATTTCAACTTCAAACCTTTCACAGTTTTTATTTACTTACGACTAAAAATGAAATGTAGTAACTTGTAAAGTTAAAAAAACCTAAGGGAATTTCTCATTTTTTTGTAATTTTAACCCAAGACAAACCAATACTTAGGTGGCAATTAAAATGTCAATATTTTGCAAGTGGTCACGTGCATTCATTCAAATGTAAACAAAAATAAAATGTTGAAACTTTTAGGTGACTAAAGTGAAAAAAAAACAAAAATAATAAAATCTAAGCTAACCAAATAAATTCCTTTCTTTAACTGCAAAGAGCAATGCATAGTCTTCTGAATAACTTCAGATTCTTACTTGACTTTTTCACTGCAAAAAAAATAAGACAATCAAAATACAGGATACTCAGAACAATAAAAACTCCAGATTATAAGAGCTGACCTAAACAAAAATTTGGAGTGGCTCTCGCTGCTTCTATTGTATGCAGTTACTCTGCTACAAAACTAATGGGTATCAAAAGAATGTACTTAACTCATATCTAAAATGGAAGTATAGTGGTGACTGAGATCTGAATATGGTCTGCATAGACATGGACCATATATCTAATATCATCTGTTTTGTATTGCTGGTCTACGAAGGAGCTTGTTACATCCAGGTTAAATCAGTTTAGAAAAATATTATTAGTTATAAAATTACTAAAGCGTTAGGAACTTTGCCTACTTTAACATAATTAACATCATCATTGATTTATGTTTCACGGTACATTTGAGTTGCAAACAGGTTCCCAAATTATCCATCGCTATAATGCTAGCAAGGAAGAATAACATCTACCTCTGTACATACATCAGGTAAACTTTACCCATTTTATGAACCCAGAATCTCAATAATATGAACAATGTCGATGGAATCAATGAAGATATTATGCCAATTAAGTGAGTTAAAAACATGCAGACATGAGACTGCACTCTTCAGAATCAGTAATCAGGACAGTGATATTTAAAGTTTCTGGCAAATACTACTGTGGTGCATTTCTCAAAGAAATGGAGACATATGATCAGTTAAAGGAACTTATGGCAGGAAAAAAAGATTCTAGAAAAAACTGAATGCATGGTAACTCCATTTACTATTGTTGTCTCACTAAAAGGCTTGAGATACATAAACAAGAAAAGAGAAAGCAGAATTAATTATAATGTCTTATCATTAAAAAGCTTATTAAATATATATAAACACATCCATGCTCATTTTAAACAGGGTTTACCTTGGCTCTTACAATAGCAATAATGAGTGGATAAAGGAAGGCAATGGGAATTACCTGTGTTCCCAGTACTGAAATCGTAACCGCTCCCCAAGAATTTAATTTGGCTATTATAAACACAATGATTTCCACTGTAATAACTCACTTATACAATATATTGGCACCAATGTAAACTAAAAGCCGATAAATTCACACCTGTCTTGAGGTAATTTAAATTTATATTACATATTTTAAGATAGCCTTATAGTCTCAAACAGCCTGGTCCAAAGTCCAATGCCATTCATCTGAATTTCTTTGAGCAAAACTATCAAGACTTTATCAGAATTATGACTTTATCCCATATTGTTTCAGCATTTAAAAATGTAGAGAAATTTGTTGGACCAAGTACAACTAAACCACACTATTCTAAGGGAATCTGGTTCAAACAGTCCAGTTACCCTCTGAACTTTTCACTCAAGACCAAGAGGAGAACTTAAAAGGTTCTCAAAAATGAGGCTTCCTTGATATTCTTAAAAGATCCTCTTAAACTCTGAAATAAAAATCATGATCCTTTTTAGGCAATACTGAGGGAAAACTACATTTGCATACACACACACTCTCACACTTTCTTTAGAATCAGTTACAGGTACCAACTCTCATGGAGGAGTGCAATAACATCAATCTTCTAATTAGATTTTCCTTTTTTTTTTTTTCAAGAGCAAAAGCTACGAAAGTCTTTTTACAAAAGAAAGTCTATTTTTGTTTTTTGATGACTAAAAAGGCAACTGAAGAGGATAAACCTCTCATTTGAGTAATGAAACATTTATTGCCTTCGAAAGGTGTTGGCAAAATTATTCTCATGACTTCAAAAACTACTTCATTGCATGGTAATAATGTTCTTGTCTCCTCTTACTTATCAAAAATAAAACTGCATCACTTTTTGACTTTAGCAGAAGGCTTCCTATAATGACACCTTGTCATACTAAGGAGGAAAAACACTGAGCATTTATTGCATTTCGAATTTTACACATTTTCGTGTTCTTAGTGAAATACACAGAAAGAGACATTTTTTTACAATTTGCCACCAGTATTTGAATGCTACTGTTTGAGTTAGGCACAGTACCTTTACTGTGACTGATGGTACCGCCTCTGCTTTTACTTCACTCTCAATGGCTTGCTGTGAAGAAAAAGATGAAAACAGAGTAAATTCAATGTTCCACAAGAATGAGTGAACACAATGAATGCAATATTACTTTCCTATCATCAACTTGGTAAACACAGAATTAAGATTAAAGGACTTGTCATTCCTATGACAGATTAACATACACAGAATACATTTCTGAGTTCCTTCTGAAAATGTAAAGTCTCTGTTTGAAATTGCCTGCAAAAAGGATAGCAAAAGGTCATGAATGTGGTATACATAAGAAACTAATACACTCTGATGTATATATGAATATTTGAAACTGTTTTGTTTGGCACACTACTTTCCACTGTATATTTATTCAAATTCTGGAAATACCTTCTGCTATTCAGTAGGGAAAGGTGACTTCCAACCTGCCAATATATTACATACACACCATAGTCCATCCTATAAAATCATCACACACTATCTTATAGTTGAAATATACTTAAACTTTAAAAGAAAATTATAGCAGGCACTTTAATACTCCTGCTAATTTCTATTTCAACAGGCAATTCCATCTACTTCAAAATTCATCTTGACCTTGCAGTATATTTTAATTTTATTTTATGCTTATATTTCATTTTGAAACAGGTCAGTCGCTACAGTTAATGAAAATGTTCCTGTGTAAACTATTATAAAGAAACATATCGCTATAGTACCAAATTACTGATTTGACCTTATAACTTCTCATTATGAAAGAGTAATTTAAAAACAGTATAAGGTCCACATCTGCAAAGTTCCTAAAAAGTCAGGAAGCTGGTAGGCTCTCTGGGTTCTAGAAGTAGGACTTTCATTTGAAAATCATGTACCTTTTCCAGTTAAAAAAAGACAGTTACGTTCATATTGGCTTGCCATGCTCACTATCTCTGGTGACCAGTGGTTGATCCTCAAGCAATAGCAGAGGTGTAAAGAGATGGACTCTTAGTATATTCAAGTCTCAGAAACTATCTGGACTTCCTGGATCAGAGGCCATACACGGGAGGTGGTGTTAAATAGCCAGACTGGTCCTCCACTTGCTTATCTAATCAGTTTTAATACATCTATATCCTCTTTGCTCTTACCACACGCTGCAATTTCAATCTTTTTACAAGTGCAGAAGTAGCATCTGAAAGCCTGTGATTTCCAAGGTCACTGTAGAAGCCCTAAAATTGTTCCTACATTTGTTTATTGATCCTTCCCCATGAAGTATCTTATCAGATTTTTCCTTTCTAGATTCCGACTGAAAAAACACACAGAAAAGCCAACCACACAGCAAACTAAGATATATGGGCAGCCTTAGGAAATACAGATTCAAGGCTGTAGTTTGATTTATATTATGAGTTACTTATATATGACACAGACCAATTGCATCTGGAAGGTTAAGCAAATGAGTACAGCAGCCTTAGAACATTCTATGTACCTAACAGTTCTAAGTGTTGTAAGCAGATTATTGCAGCTAGCCAAGGAGACTAGCACGCATTACAAAGTCCCTTTAGCAGAGAATAATATCCTTGTGTACTTTTTAAACAGCAAGCAGTCCAGGAAAATCAGTTTTGCACAAATTAGTGGCCAGAAATGGCTCATTACAGATGTTCTAGTGCAAGAAATATGTTCTGAAATGTTGAAGTTTGAAGTTTTAAGAGACAGCATAAGATCTCTCGAATCTTAATCTGAATAATTTTTTGTAAGCTACTTCTGTATACAATATGAATAAATTAATTAGGTTGCAATACCAGAGAATATGGAAAAATGGCTTGCCAGAGAAAGGTTATTTCTTACAATGCAACTGAGTGGTTTGAGTATCTTATCTTTCAAAGATCTAAGGATGACACTTCTACTTCAGGAAAAACTGAGGGCTATGCAGCTCAGTCCCACAAATAAAAATATATAGTAATCACTATCCATGATCAATCCTCATTTATTCACGTGTGAAACTTATATTTTTAGAGTAATTCCCTTTTCATACAGGTACATACAGATTCTGCATCCAAATCAGGTGAAACCTCTGCTGTGACAGTTAGATCTCTCCGTTTTTCAGATTCAGGCAAAATATCTGAAAGAAAAAGAAAAAGCAAAGCACCTCTTCTTTAACAAATATGCAGCTACATTTCTAAAAATAATACAATTTCAACAGCATCAAGTTTCAAATTCACAAATTTGAATACAAATTTGAAAAGAAAAAAAAGCAATGTGTATGATTTTTGATATTTCCAAAGAAGCTTCCCAACTTTATTAGATTTCTAAAAACCTAAACCTGGCTGTCATTTTGGATTTCTAATTTATGTACAAAAAAGGACTTAGATGCATTCTGTAACAAGGTTTTACACCTAATATCCATTATCTTCAGAGGCCATACGATATTTTTAAACTTTTGTCCTCATATGCATATGGTAATACACCAATAATAAAGAACTACCTCCAAAACAACACACTATACACATCATGGCACTTTCCTCTAAATAATTTGATAACAAATATGCTAAACAAAGAAAAATTCTGTGTCTAATGGTCTAATCTTATGCAATTCCTCTGCATAAGAAGTATATGAAGGTTTTATGTATAGAACATTATATGGGGCTTGGTTACAATATGTTACCAGATGATTTCCAGTACTGTCAACATACAAAGAAAGGAATGGTATGAACTTATTTATATCCATCATATAAATAATTACGCAGATTCATATATGTAAAAAAAAGTTGTACAAATTAAAAGTTTAAATACCATGAGGAATTATATAACCCCCTCTTACTTAAGAGTCCAGAAGCCCAGCTCTAGGGTATTTGCATTTTTCTGAAAAGATCTTTTATTTTTTAAGACTAAATGTATTGGAAAATGAAAAACCCAAACAGCAAATGTATAGTTTCTAAAGTAACAACCAGTAAAAACTTGATGCAAAGGGGAAATTAACATACTAATTGAATAATTCAGAGCATGAGCACATTCAGAAAGCTGAAAGAATTTTGTTACACAGAAGGTCCTGAAAATGACCTAGAACTAGTAGACAGCATGCATCTCGTTCTAACAAGAGGGACTAGGGAAAAGATTTTGATGAAGACAGAAAATAAGTTTTCATTTCCTTATGCTCAGAGAAAAATGCCCCTCTTTGCCACAAGGAAGAAAAGCAAAGGCAAAACACGTTTCTTTAGTACCACCTACAAAAGAAGTTTAGGCCTGTTTCATACAGCCACAATTAAAAAGAACTGGTTCTCCCAACTAACACATAGATCAGCCCAATCCATTCTTTTTCTATCCCTTCTAAATTATTTCTCTTCAGGTGGTTTCTTCAAGCAAACTATGATGCAACTTCTGTCATACTGACATTTTTCTATTAGAAGTAGGACTGAGATCACAAACAAAGTTTACATATAAGTACCAGCTTTTGTTACTACTAAACTGAGCCAAAACACGTATGTTTAATCACTTATGTCATCCAGACTGATGCAAGTAATATTAGATTTAAGTTAGTAAAACAGTTAAGATTTTAAAATATTTCATCAGTTTATAATGTAAATCCTTATACTTCAAAATGTATAAAACAGCTTAAGTTCAACAGTTTAATGGTCAGCACTGGACAGAAATACAAGACATTTATGGAAATAAGTACTCTAAGGGTTTTTTTAATATGATGACCTAATTCTAAATACCTTCCACATTTGAAAGTCAAAATGAAACAAAGAAAAATTATTTCCATATAAGGTTAGATATTTTCAAAACAACACAAGCTCTTACTGCACAAGCATGAATTCAAAAGACAAAAAAGTTAACAGCTCATTTTAAAGGTCATGTTCAGGAGTAACTTAATGGCAATCAAGGTTCAAGCTAAAGTTTTCAGAAAAAAACCAAAATGTGAAAAGCCCAAAACATCCAAAACTGACTGGCATTCATCATAAGTAAAAAGTTTTGTTGTAAAAAAAGGTTCTCTCACAAGTTTTACATCCAGTTAAAGTCAAACACATCATTAGAGCACCTCTCCACAATGGAAAGAGCATTTATAAAAACTCATCTGAAAACAGCACTTAGATCAGATTAGACATACTGAGGAAGAAAATTAAGAGGAAGAGAGAATGGTGAAAAGATCAACAATATTCAAAGTAAACTTGTCAATCATACTGTGACAGTTATTAAAATATTTAAAAAGGATAGTTACAGTTCCTTTCTCTCTCTCGATCTTCCCCATAATACGTTAAAACTAACAAGTGAAAGTTGATTCACTTCAAATGGATTTGTTCCTTCCTTCATGCTTTTCTTTCCTTTGGTTATGATAGCCAGAAAAAATTGTCTGATACTTATAAAGAAGAAGTGCGGTAAAAATCAGTGGAATTTATCCACATCTATATGCTTATATAAAACATTTCTGGATTTGGAAAATTAAAAACCGGATATGAGTCTATCACAATAATGGATGAAGTTATATGTAATTACAAAACATAGAAATCTTAGAGTCATAGAATCAAACTTGTGACTGCAGATAAATAATTTCTTATTTTCTAGGAATTTCAACTGTGAGCTTTTTCACTCTTTTTCACATAGAAAGCAATGACTGTTTCTTTTATGCATTTTAAGAAGATGTTCACGATCATCAGGAAAATTTGTTCTTTCTATTTGTCTAAGATTTTTCCATAGTTTCCTGTAAAATCACATGCTTCCAATTCACTGTGCAAGTCTCACATACACAGTTTAAAAACCCATGCTTCATGTTTATGAAAACACAAGCTTCGAAGCTCTGTAGAAATTATGTGTCCTTACTTCAATAAAATCAATGCAAGTTATGAGCAATGTATGTCAATTCCAAAATTTATTATGATCAGTTATTTGGGTATTGACATCTCTCACTATGTTCTTCAAATACGCTTTTGAAAGAAATTATAGAAACAGAAAAGTTGCTTTAACAAAAGTAATTCTTTGTTAATTTCATGACTTAAAAAGCCATTTGTAATAATAAAACAGAATCTGGCAATACTTTTGCTCTCTCTGAACCCTAATTATATCAGGCTGTTGAAATTCTTCAAGTTTTCTTGCCTTTGGGTAGTCAGTTTTTTCTCTGAACCCTTGCACTACTGAGAATTACCTGCAACCTGAAGTAAACTTCTCGAAAGTTCCAACAGGCATTGTGAAAATACAAAGAAAAACCCTGCATTCAAGAGCCTTACAGTCTAGGATTTTGTGTGCATGCTTTTCTATTAAAAGCTCAACTTTATTAAATATTAAATTTCCTACAGAAATGTAATTATGGTTAAAGTCTGAATATTTTAAAGTGCTAAAAGGAAAGTTAGGTGGATAAAAGCACATAAAAATACAGAAAAGGAAAAAGTATACCTTGTGTTTTTGTGGCCTCCCTGATGATTTTTTGAAGCTCTTTCATTTCAGCATTCATTTCTTCATAGTTTATTTCCCTAGCATCAACCTTAGGAGCCTGGAAGATTGAAGGATCGGTTCCAAGGTATGAACACTGAAGATGCCCATCATCAGTCAGAGTGACTATAACACCCTTCAAGTCTCTGCACAAAAAAAAAAAAAAAAAAGGCTCACTAAGAAATTGGGAAGAATCACAGAAGTAACATCGAAAATATGCTGCTTCTACTGTGCCATCTACAAATACAATAGAACTTCCTGGTTTTAACAATATCCCTTGACCAAAAGAAAATAACAATATTTATTCTTCAATTCAGATGTTTTCATTAACATTACTCCCATTTGCTGCAATCACACCTAAGAACAAATTAGTGTTAGACGGCTAAAACACCTCAGAATCATTGTAATCAGGAGAGGTAGCAGAAAGAATCAGAACAAACAAGCTGAATAGATAGTTGTCACCTATGTGGGAAAAGGAATTTGCTGAGTGGAACACCCAATAAAGGAAGGGAAGGGAAAGGATGTGTTACAAGAAATCAGGAACGGATGGAAGATGCTCACAGTGAAGACAGCAGTAGGGCTTTGATGGTATCAATAGCTCCCTTAAACAATTCTTTGGCTGCTACTGCAGCTACTGTGCTGGCTTCAAACGCTGGCTGGCTGTTCTCTGCAGTATCTTTCAGAAAGGAAACCACATGGATCCAGAACATTCCCCTTACACTTCCCTGAATCAATACAAATGAGTGTTTTATTAGCTACACTATAGTCTCTTTTCTCTCAAGGGAACAGTACCTCATTGCTCCTACAAAAATCTCACTCATTTTGTTTATCTGATCTGTACAGTGCAAATGCAAGATTTAGGAAAGTATTTAACAACCTATGAGACAATAGGGAGTACTGCCAACGTTTTCCTTACATTGACAGTTATTCCTAAACAGAAGACAAACTGACAGGAAAGAAAAACTAGCTCAGATGTTAACAGCAAAAGTTAGGAGAAAGTTAACTTTCAATTTATTTTTTAAAATGCTTATTTGTAATTAAATTAAAAGCCTGTAATAATTTTCACAATCACAAAATAACACATTTATGCCAGTAATTTGCTCTTATTCCATACGTAGAACATCTTACAGCAGAAACTGCCTTTGTTTTATATGGCAGTTGTATTTGAGCCAAAGATAGATCAAATTTAATTCTTAGATATAAAAAGTGATTTGGATAAGAAAGCCTAATTCACTATCCCACTAATTAAACTCCTGCAAAAATACTGCATTCATATAAGCGTTCAAGCTATAATTCATACAGAATAAACAAGAATTCTTTTAACTGACACTTGTAAGATACCTTTCAAGTGCCTCCTCTAGATCAAATACATGTAGAACAAAAGCCAGGTAGCTACATAAAAGAAATAGAATTCTCTGGTTTCCTACTCGGTTTTGTAGCATGGCTCCAGAACACCCAGATAGGAAACCTCATTCCAAAATTCACAGGTTAATAGTTATTACAAAAGCAAACCAGTGACACAGATTCATTTTGACAACTGGTGGTCCAATTAGACTGTCCAAAATGCCTATTTATAGTATGTTAAGGTCACAATCCCAGTGGTGGTTTCACAACTGCAACCAAATAATCTGGAAAAAATACGCTGCAACTGAGATCATCTGAACTCTGTACAGTTACATTATAACTGCATACAGGAATGAAGACTCCACTGGGCACTATACAAATTAGTTGCTGTAGATAAACTTGAGTTTTCTTTTTCTACAGAAAGTAATTTTTACTTAGTGAAAGAAAAAAATAAATCTCCTTGTTGAATTATGAGTGTATGGACAACAGGTAACCCCAGTTACCTCTTTGCTAAAGGTGAAACATGCAAATCTGAACTGCCTTCTCAAACAGAAGGCACCTAAAAGGGCTCAAACACACTGTTTCCCTTACCTACTATATAAGTTCATGTTAAACAGAAAAAATCTTTTCTTTTGGGACTACTTATGGCCACAGAAAAGCTTCCAGCTACCACTGCAACTTTTAACATGTATTAGCATTCCCTGCAAAACTGTAATAGGAAGCTGTTTTTGTAAGCACATAAGGCTGAGATGCCAAGACTCCCCTAACAAATACTTTAAGAAAAGAAAGTAGAAGACTTAACACTGATTTTCAACTTCCATATCCAGTACTTGGGTTAGCAGCCATTCTGCAAACGCCATGGTCTATTTGCAACCATTAAGCTTGGGGCTTGCATCCCAAAGGGGTTTTCTAACAAATTGTAAACTCTCAAGAGGAACTGGAACTAAACATGAGTCCTAGTTTCTCTGCCTGCTTGAATATTTGTTGTCAACTATAGCTGGTTTCCTTGCTCAGGACTGGGTCTGTTGTTGAAATTACACTCATCCTAGTTTTCTTATGTCCAAAAAGATCTGTACAACACACATCTGTGCAACACTTACAGAATTCTGGATGGCACATGAAACGAATACGTTGGGCTAGCCCTGAGTTCTGTATATGAACAATGCTAGGGGACAGACTACTGTGAATACTTGAACCACAACACAGTCTTAGGAAAGTATGCAAATTACACCTAATGCATAGGACTTTGTTAATGCCTGCCAAATGTTTGCAAGGAGATTTGCCAGATTGGTCGTGGTTGCAGCAAAGTCTTTAAAAATTGGGTATTGTCGAGGAAGATGCTACCATGCTACCAAAGACACTGCCCCACACTTTGCTATTAAGTCAGAGCAAATAATAACTTTTTCTTTTTTTGAAAAAAAAAAAAAAAAAAGGGGACAACAAGAGAAACTGCATCATGAGGTTGTTCCACAGCTGAAGAAAGAAAACTGACATCTGAAAACCAGACAATTTCTAAAATTCTCCAGCAATGGCTTTGGACCATCTTAAAATTTCTTTCTTGAGTTTTTGCATCTGTTAATCTAATAAGGCAAGATCTATGAGGACATCTGGGTGTAAATCATAAGGGCATGAAGAAATATAGCTACACTGTTAGCAATAAATCTTTGATGATATACTACTAAGGTATAATACATTCAAAAGTGGTTTGTAAATACAGGCCTTCCTATGTACCTTTAAGCTGGCAGTCATCTGCAGCTACTCAGTCTATCATATGAGATCAACTTAAATCAATGAGGTGATTTACCAATATAAAATATGCTTTTCTTAACTTCTGAGTTTATGTCAGCATTACAGAATGCACATTCAGAAACTCCACCTTAAAATAAACTCATTTCAACCAACTTTCCCATTAGTCATGACACCCTTGAGGTCTGCACTATCTCAGGGACAAAAGCATTGGTTTAAGAAAACAGTGTTACAAATCACACTTTGCCTTTGCTTCAGTTACTCTTCTGCAGGGTCTCAAGAAGATTGTTCAAAATGAAACATGTAGAAATATAAAAAAGCCTTTTTCAGTAATCTTTCCTTGTTAAAAGCCGTACATGAATTTGTACATCAATAGAAACAATAAGAAAAATATGGGTAACCATTTATAACATATTTTTTATAATATATTAATTTCTCTGTTGGAATGTTTGTCAGCCATTCAAGACTGCTTTATTTTCTCAGTCTTTTATAACAGTTGTTAAAGGCAGCAGGAGGAGGGGAAGCATTTTTAGCAGTTTTATAGTAGTTTCCCCACAGCTACTGCACTCCCACAATATCCCTGCAAATACCATTACTTCATTTTGCACACAATCTGGAATTTCAATTACTTGTTAAATTTCTTTTATTGTAAACTATTTCTTTTACTATGTATCACACAATAGTCAAAGTAATAGCAAATCTAAGGGGACACTTTAATAGTGAGGAACTCAAAGTATAAAACAAATTATTCCATATCTAAAATAACTGCACAGTACAAAGCAACTCCTGCACACATATGGTAATAATTTGTTAAACTATTTTTTATTGGATTTTGGGTAATAATAATTGCATATGTTTTTTGTAGGTCTTCTCTTACTAAACAAATTGCTCACAATATAATTCTTGAAGAAATTAAAATGCTTTGCATGTTTCCAGTTATATAATGCCAAACTGATGGCTCACACAATTGACTTAGAATCTGTCATTCTGAATTCTACTTGAATGATACAAGCTAAGCCTTGGTCAACTCTTAGGACAAGGTATGGTTATTGACACTATTTACAGCTTCAATTATTTATATTTATAATAGCTTATAAAACTTCAATTTCAGAAGTAGTCTTAATTGATATTACTCATACGAACCATTTTAGAAAACAAAATTCTCTGCAATACTACTTTCTGTTCCTTATTGATAATATATTATTTAAAAACTACTAAATTAGGAAAGTAATTCCATCATCACGCCCAAGCATTTTGAACCATTTTTCTCCTCATTTTATCACCATTTGATGCAATTATATGCAAGTGAATATCTCAATAGCACTTTTTAGTTTAGTGCTTTTGAAAACCAAAGTTGTTCCAAGTTCCATTTCAATGTCATTTTAAGCTGCAACTGTGTGAAACATTTGATAAAATGCTGAAGGAAGATCAGACTAGGAGTAATAAACTGTAAGAATTTTCTAACATGAACTAATGGATTAAAAGGCCCATCTTACTCTTATTAAACACACATTCCAAAATCTAAAGTACACCCACAGCTAAATATTCAAAGTACATCCAGTGTGACCCAATGTCAGATACTATTGATTTGTAATTGGTTCTCTGTACCTGTGGAACACCCTCAGGCTCCCTTGAAATGCGTTCCTGTGTAAAAAAATCTTGGTTCAACTTACCTCACAAGCAATGCTTTATGTGTAAGACTTCCCAATTCTGCTGTTACACATGAAAACAGATAATTTAATTGCTCTCAAAGAGTCTATTTATATTATGTATTTAATATGCTTTGCACACTCTGCACACAAGCATATAATATAAATATAGTGTTCAAATAATAATATGTAATTATGTTGAATATCATTAAGCGGTAAATAATTTGTGCTGTAGCTTTACAGAAAAACATTCTTCACCTTTCCCTTTCACTTGATATTTTAAGATTACTGACACAAATCTAGTTAAAGAAAATATCAAGTACATGTAAGAAGAACAAGGAAATTAAGCATAATTTCATCTTGATAACCAGTGGAAAAGCATATAAAAATAGAATCTATGACTAGAA